GCCAACCACTAAAGGCAAAGATGAGGAAATTGAAGATTTTTACCAACTTCTGCAGTCTGAAATTGACCAAATATGTAATCAAGATGTGTTGGTTATTACTGGTAATTGGAATATGAAAGCTGGAACTGAAGAAGAATCACTGGTAGTTGGAAAATATGGCCTTGGTCTTAAAAATGATGCCGGAGATCGCCTGATAGAATTTTGCAAGGCCAGCAACTTATTCATTGCAAATACCCTTTTTCAACAACATAAAAAACATCTATACATGTGGACTTCACCAGATGGAATACACAGGAATCAGACTGACTACATATGTGGAAATAGGCAATGGGGAACCTCAATATCATCAATCAAAACAAGGCCAGAAGCTAATTGTGGAACAGACCATCAATTGCTCATATGCAAGTTTAAGTCTAAGCTGAAGACAATTAAAACAAGTCCACAAGAGCCAAAACATGACCTGGAATATATCCTTCCTGACCAAAAACCAGAAGAATTGTGAGATGACATCAAGAACATCATCCATGAAGAAAGCAAGAGGTCATTAAAAAGATTAGAAAAGAAGACAAGACCAAAATAGATGTCAGAAGAGACTCTGAAACTTGCCCTTGAATGGAGAGTAGCTGAAGCAAATGGAAGAAATGACAAGATAAAAGAGCTGAACAGAAGATTTCAAAGAGCAGCTCGAGCAGACAGAACCAATTACTATAATGAAATGTGTAAAGACCTGGAGTTAGACAACCAGAAGGGAAAAACACACTCAGCATTTCTCAAGCTGAAAGCACTGAGGAAAAAATTTTAAGCTTTGAGTTGCAATATTGAAAGATTCTATAGGCAAAATATTGAATGATGCAGGAAGCATCAAAAGAAGATGGAAGGAATATACAGAGTTACTGTACCAAAAATAATTGGTTGATGTTCAACTATTTCAGAAGGTGGCATATGATCAAGAACCAATGGTACTGAAGAAAGAAGTCCAAGCTGCACTGAAGGAACTGGTGAAAAACAAGGCTCCAGGAACTGAAGAATACCCATTGAAATGTTTCAACAAACAGATGCCATGCTGGAGGCAATTACTTGTCTATGCCAAGTAATTTGGAAGACGGCTACTTGGCCAACTGACAGGAAGAGATCCATATTTGTACCCGGCAGAATGATCAGCAGAATGTGGAAATTATCAAACATTTATATCACCCACAAGTAAAATTTTGCTGAAGATAATTAATAAATGGTTGCTGCACTATATTGACAGGGAACTTTCAGAAATGCAGAAGGGGTCATGGAATGAAAGATATCATTGCTGATGGATCTTGGGTGAAAGCAAAGAATACCAGAAAGATGTTACTTGTGTTTTATTGACTATGCAAAAGCATTGGACTGTGTGGATCATAACAAATTATGGATAACATTGATAATGTGAATTCTAGAACACTCAATTGTTCTCATGAGGAACCAGTACATAGACCAGGAGGCTGATATTGAAACAAAACAAGAGGATACTGCATGGTTTAAAATCAGGAAGGGCATGTGTCAGGGTTGTATCCTTTCACCATACTTATTCATTCTGTATGCTGAGCAAATAATCCAAGAAGCTAGACTATGTGAAGAAGAACACAACATCAGGATTGGAGGAAGACTAATTAACAATCTACAATATGCAGAAGACACAACCATGTTTGCTGAAAGTGAAGATGATTTGAAGCGCTTACTGATGAAGATTAAAGACTACAGTCTGCAGTATGGATTACACCTCAACATAAAGAAAATGAAAAGCCTCACAACTGGACCAATTAGCAACATCATGGAGAAAAGACTGAAGTTGTCAAAGATTTTATATTACTTGGATCCACAGTCAACACCCATGGAAGCAGCAGTCAAGAAATCAGATGGTGTGTTGCACTGCGCAAATCTGCTGCAAAAAGACCTTTTTAAAGTGTTGAAGAATAAGACCACTTTGAAGACTAAGGTGCACCTAACTGAAGCCATGGTATTTTCACTTACCTTATATGCATGTGCAACTGTACAATGAGTAAGGAAGACTGAGGAAGAGTTGATGCTTTTGAGTTGTGCTGTTGGCAAAGAATACTGAAAGTACCATGGACTACCAGAGGAAAGAACAAATCTGTCCTGGAAAAAGTGCAGCCAGAATGTTCCTTGGAAGTGACAATGGCTAGACTTCATCTCACCTACTTTATTATGTTGTCAGAAGGGACCATTCCCTGAAGAAGGTTATGCTTGGTAAAGTAGAGGGTCAGAGAAAAAGGGGAAACCATCAATAAAATGTATTGACATAGTTGCTGGAATGATGGACTCAACTACAGCAAAGATTGTGAGGATAACGCATGACCAGGCAGTGTTTCATTCTGTTGTAGGTAGGGTCGCTACGAGTCAGAGCCGATTCAAT